CCTAGGTTTCCTGCAAGACCTTGAGGCATGACTCTAAACAAATATTGAATCTGACTAGGTGTGCTCTCCAAGGATACATGATCTGCTCACACCTGCTCACATTGAAGTTTTTTTTTTTGTTGTTGAGATGATTTCAGGCCTCCATCAAATGTTTCAGTTTCTTTCCCTTCATTCCCTTCAGGCTCAGTGCCAAGTAAGGAAGGATGACGCTACCTGTTTATGGGAAAAGTGATTTCTGATAATATGGGTGCTGTAATATAAACTCCTCATATGAGGGTATCAAGCAGAAGCTCTTCCTCTTCCTCATTAACATTTTATTACCCTTTTCTACTTATTTATTGTTGTTTTTGTTGTTCTCATTCTATTTATATGGTCTGACATTTACTTTGTTTTTGAGATGTATCATACAACATACTTGTTTTAAAAAGTACAACAGAACTTTGTATATGATGAATTCAAAACATATTACACCAGATATATTTGAATAGACCAAAAAGTCACATGATGACAGCGATGTTAAAAATATTAATGCAGAAGTCTGACAGGTAGTTCATACTTTATTCAAACCAAATAGTGAAACATGATTAAGTACCTAGCTTAGCTTTTAATTCCATTACATTTGATTGATTAGCTAGCTAACTATAGGCTATTGGTTATGTCAAAAATTTGTAGATTAAACTCCAAAGTATTGCATTCAATGGCTGAAATTAGACCCACCATTTCACCCTTAGCATTAAAATGATGTGTACAAAAACCATTATCAAATGCAGGATGCAGCTATACTACATCATATTTGTTTGTAAAAACATAAGGTTTTTTTTATAAAACTCTGGCATGGCTCATCAAATGTTGTTTTTTCTTTTCTAGGACTCTGAATAGTGATCAGCAATAGGGAACTAAAGAGTTAAGACTATGATTTCATGTCAACAGGGACCCTAACACTTACCTTTAAGATCTACAAATAACCTACACATCAATCACATCTTCTGTTTGGCCAGTATACACAGCACAGGTTTGCTGAACTTCGTCCCATCATAGCTCAAACAATACACCCGCTGTTTACTCAGTGCTATTGAGAGGGGCATAATGGTTTGCCTGTGCTTCACATCCAACGTGGGAAAGAGTATTTCTTAGTGTGTGAAAACAATTGGTTGTCTGAAATAATACAGTTTTCTAAAAATTGTATCACCTTTCTGAGAAGTTTGACAAGCATGAAACCCAGATGACCTATAACACCTGCAGATAAGAAGCAAGTGGAAGCAAGCAGGAAAGTTCCTCATCCTTACTTGGCTTGGCCAGGCTGCGGTTTTTACAAATCACAGTAGGAGGGCGTCTGTCAACATCCTCACTGGAGCGCTCACCCTTAGATCCGTCACATCTGTCCCACAACTTAGGGCCAACACTACCCTTACAGTTTTAGGTG